CCCCACCTGTCTACTAGCCTCTAGTAAAACTTCTGCGTTCCTCTTTATTGTATTTATATCGTCCCCCAATAAATTACCATCATCAGCATATGCCAATAGCTGATGTGTCCCGTTCAATTGCCAACCCTCCTGCCTACCTTGGACCTTCCTGATGGCGTATTCTAGCGCAAAGTTAAAGAGCAAGGGAGACAAAGCATCTCCTTGTTTTAGACCGTTCTTGATGAGGAATGTCTCAGATACATATTTACCTACTCGAATTTTGCTGCAGGTTTCATTTAAGCACATTTTTATTAGACCCACTAGCTTCTTTGCTGTGAAATATCACCAGATGAAAATCAAAATAGTTTACTTATTAGACAAGAGGTCACTAACCAAAACTAAAGACACTTTATATTTATCTTTATGGTATTTATTTTGAAACTTCTAAATTAATTTTATGTCAGTATTTAGAGTAGTCAAAACAGGATTGGAATATTGTACTGTTTGGAGTACACTGAAATTCTAAAGGTGTTCTTCATGTCAGCAGGCTACTTTGCTGATAACTACAACTCATAGGAACTGTGGACATAAATCACTCTTCCAGGAAATAAATAACAAAGGCAACAAACAAATGTACCCCAAGATCATTCTTGTGATAGTGTTATTTGAACATTGTTGCAACATGTCCCAGTAATGACCTTGGCTACCACTGCTGTGACAGAAAACTCCAGTTCTCAGTGTTTAAGTGTATTCCAACAATGGCTTCAGTTCCTTTTGTTGTATAACTTCCAACAATGACCTTGGGTCATGCAAGTTTGCCTAGTTCCTAGGAAAACCAGGCAAACCCACAAGATCTTCGTTCATGCTAGAACATGAAGAACACCTAACAAATGGTTCACCAGTCTTAACCCTTTATCTACTTAAAATATTAGTGTGTGGTGCTGTCAGTGCTCAAAACTGCTTGATTTCTCACATGTTAAAAGTATTACTGCTTTCTTTTCTGGCTGTTTATATTTTAAATGAGGTTGACTGCATTGGAAGGGACAGGGCCCTTGTAATTTTACTACATTCAATTACATGAGGTGGAGAAAAAGGGTTAAGACTACATATGACAGAGCAAGTTTTATCCAATAACATTAATCACAAAGCCATATGCACACAAGAGACAATAACATAAATATTAACAATTGCTATGAATCATGATTTATGGATACCAATTTTATCCAACAGTAAATACTCACAAGTTACTTCAATAAAACTGTGCCATCTTCTGAGGCTGTTTAGTGTCAATAATAATTGTGGTGATGTATTAACAATGGCTAGAATGGCAGGAGATACAAGAAAGCCCTGAGAAAGATTTAACGAGCACAGCACTGACATATCCCAGACAGAATGAAGTGATGAGAACAAGTGTACACGCCTCTCAGCCACAGTGTAAGCTTCCAGTCAGCAGTTAGACCAATTCCCAACACAAGGGATGATATGCTTCATCCACAGAACGTTCTTTACAAAGGACAGACCTTTTTCCGCCACAATACTATTGCATGTCAATGTTAAGGCACAACACAACAAAATACTTCTTTAAAAATTAATTACCAAAGTGTATTAAGGATCTCATAAACATTATTATTTCAGATTGTTGAAGTTTTGAATCTGTCTCTCATAAATGGATTTTATGATACAAATGCTATCACTTAAATAATCCTATCCATTTCTAACTATAGCAAGAATTTTATGTACAATTAATATTCTATGAATGAAGTCTGATTTCACACATTATCAAAACTAACATAGCATGTACCTGAAGGTCAACTTTGCGTAATTAATTTGCTATCATAATAAAGGCAAACAAGCTGCACTCTCAGAAGAAATGTTATCTGAATAACCAATTGTTTACATACATTTATATACCAAAATGTTTCCATTACTGTGCTGATATTGGCACAAATAGATGATGATGAGGAATGAAAGGTGTAAAATGGAGTATGAAGAATGCTAAAAAGGTCAGTCCCTTGTGGACATTGCATTTAAATACACATTCATTTATTTTATTAGTATAAATTTTTAATACAATGAAACTTAAGTAAAATGAACACTTGTTCAAAATTTGACATACAGAATTCAACATTTAAATGAAAACAATATATTTATATATACACAAAATACAATTCTCTCAGATTTCAAAAGTCACAGTGCTAGTAATTATCTGTATTCAAAGTCTTTAACTTTCAACTGCTGACAGAAAGGGGAATCAAAGCACATAATTATGAGATAGCTGTAATTTGTGTTGTGACCTTGGGTATGAGAAGAAATGCAAGCAATAGCAACCACTTTCATACCTCTTCAAATGAACTACTCATTATACATAAATAAAAGAAAACATACAGGTCTTATGGGTTACTGTTCCTTTACATGGCCATGTTTGAGCAAAGACATACAAACTAAATGTATGCCACATCCTATTACTGTTTGTTTCTTGACTGTTCACAACACTGTAACAGCAGCAAAGATTATTTAGCATGGCATAATAAATGGCACAGCCAATTTTAAAGTACTTTTGCACATCTGCCTGGAGCAAGTGGGGAAAATTATGGTAATTAATACAGACAAGGACCAGGAGTCTGCTTTCATTACAGTACTTCTGACATCTTGCATTGTGTTCACTTCCTGCTGTTCTTTGTCCATAATATTGCCATAACTTATGCTACTTTCAACAGCGAGGTGTTTGAGGAATTTATGTCTTGTAACTGGAATGCTACAGAGAAAGGAGTGAGGTTGTAAAACATAACATTTGGGTAACATCTGACAATACAAACAAAATGTTATTTTCTATATTTTCTTGTTATGAACTACACAGTAGTATATAGTCATATGTGATTAAACAACACGTACCAAACAAAAGCAGTGACTTGGATTCTGGAGGTACAAGATTTGAATTCACCCAGACCCAGCAATCCTCATTCAAAATGTTTGTCAATAAATTTCTCCAGGCAAATGCAAAACAGTACCTTCAAATAGGCCTAAAGTACTTAATTTATCCAACCCACTATTCCTGATCATTCCATAGGTTTCCAAAGCTTGAGTGCAGTATAATTTTGGGTTTCATTTTCTTACGTCATGTGACACTACATAATCTCTGCAGGTGATACATTATTCTTAAATAAGTATGCCTCAATGGACCACATACATCTGCTCAATTAAAACAAAGCTTCATTTGGCCCAGGTGTGTCTTCTGCATTAATTATTGCAGTAAACTGATTATCAGAGATTAAATGGGGGATGTTGTTGTTACGTGCAGGACTTGCCCTTTTCATAGATGTCAGTACAGATGGTCTTCCTGGTTCTTGCAGAGTGGCACAACAAATGAGAAGACCACACCATCTATCAGTGTTACATGCTCTTTGTATTCTAAATGTCATCCAATATGAACAATGTGAGATTATGCAAGAGGACTGGAAGAGCATAAACGTCACAATTATGATGTAATTTAAATATCACTGGGCATCCAAGTGAGATTATGCAAGAGGACTGGAAGAGTATAAACATCACAATTAAGATGTAATTTAAATATCACTGGGCGTCCAGAGAAACAACTAGTGAGACTGGTGAAGTAGCCAAGTAATGTTACATTTTATACCTAAAAACATTCTGAACTTCAGGAAAAGCAGTCATCACAGTACATTTTTCTTCAAGCACTGAACTGTACACCACCAAAATATGCAATTAAATTGATGTGAAGTTGTAAACGGCATGTTACATAAGTGTTTCCTCCTTCCAAAAAAATGCTGACAAATTATGGTGTAATGTATACTGCTTTTACTTTCACTGCATGGTGGCAGTTGTGAGCTTGGAATATCAAGATGTACGTAACACTGAAGTACAAAAATTATCTATCAACTTTACTTTCCCCCTGAACTTTGCATACTCAAGTTATCATTCTCAACAAATTTATTTTCATTACAATTCACAAAAAGCAGAAGCCCCTGGAATTTTGGTGCAAAAAATATTTCATTTGTACTTCAAATTGCTACTAGGGGTTTAGTAATTTCATTCCAATACTCTTAAAATATAAGCTCCACCAAATGTTCTAAGACGGGATGGTTAAAATAAATTTTACCATTGTCTTTTTTCCCCAGAGACCACACATGTTCATGAAAAGTATTTGAGGTTCTCAGGGCAGCAAGAATGAAGTTGGCTGTCTTCTGGGATGTAGCAACATGTCTGATAGAAGTTTATCAACATTTCACAGGTACTTCCTGCCTCCATCATCAGCCAGCAAAGGACACATAAAATGTTGGAAGACTTCTACCACGTTACACAGTGCTACAACCCAGAAGACAGCCTCCTTCATGTTTATGAAAAGACAGATTCAGCACATTTAATTCCTCTGTTGCAATATATCACTGAAGAAACCCATGAAGTTTCAAAGCACATTTAATTCCTCTGTTGCAATATGATATCACTGAAGAAACCCATGACGTTTCAGTTTATAGTGTTTCTGGATTTGACTGCAATTCTTAAAACAAAATACTGGGTAAAAATTTAAGGAAACAATATTTGCAAATTCGAAAAGACTGACAGTAATTCTTTCTCTGAAGTGATACATTTAGAGGCAAAAGATGGTAGCTATTATTGCATACAACTGTGAGCCAGACCACATTTATGAAGTTCCTCTAACTCGCTTCCTTCTGCAATATGATTAATCGAAAACTTTTTTTTTTTTACAAATTCATGATTATCACTTACACAGTTCTAGGTATGGCACGAGTGCAACCTTTTATATTACTTGAAGGGCCCAGTGTGTCCAAGATATTGCTTAACTATGAACAGACATGGGGTGTCGTGCTACAAATTTCTTAAAACAAAATGCTTCGTTTTCATACATCTATAAATTAACACTGATTATTGCACTCCACATCCTCTCAACAGAATGCTATGACTGTTTATTGAGCCAGTATTTACATGTATGAAAATATAATTCCAATTATGTCTGTATTTTCTTTATCTCTGCTGATTCATATTATGTGTACAAATTCTAATTAAACTCACTTGGGAACAAAGAAGGACTGACCTGGACCCATACCTTGGTTGCTCATCTGGCTTCTTGTATTTGTTGCATACAATTGTTGCTGGAAGTTATGAAACTGCTGTGCATAATTGGGGTCAGCTGTAGTAGGCCCAATGAAAGGTGAATTCTTAAAATTATTAGCCTGCCCCATTGACGGTGGGAGAGGCTGACTTGCATCTGGAGTACCGCCAAGACCCATCGGAGAAGATTTGGGGCCAGGCACAAACATCTGCGTGTTCTGAGCATTACCAGGCATGTTTTGATTTTGACCTCCTCCAAATATCTGTTCTCCAACTGGCTGTCCTGGGCTGGATGGGAGACCAAACACACCACCTCCCATCTGCTGCATCCTCATCATCCCTCCTGGTCGCAAACTGCCGCGCATTGGGGTCATACCAACACCGGGGCCTCCCGGTCCCATTACCATGCCACCTGACATGGGCAAGTTCATGCCTACCAAAGATACATTGGAGCCAATAACTGGCCCATTCAAGCCACCCATGTGACCTCCAACACCACAGTTTGTTCCTGGAAGCCCTCCAATTTGAGAATTCACATCACTCATAGCGCCATTTGGCCTGTTCATGGGTACATTAAGTCTACCCATACTTGCAGAATTAGGTTGGCCACTAGTGGGAAAATACTGCAGATTGTGGGTAGGAACCTTTGTATCCAAATTGGAAAGGGGACTTGTGAAGCGCTGTAGGAACTCCAAACTAGGAGGACCCCTGGGACCAGAACTTCCAGTCTGAGGTTTGGCAGGGAGATACTGGATAGTGTTCGGAGCACTGGCTTTAACCTGGACATTAGTGCCACTGTATGGGTTAGGACCTGGAGGTCGTCCTATCATCCTCTGAGGAATCGGACTTGACGTGTAGGGCGACGATCCTCTTCCGGGTCCAAGGCCCATTATCATGTTTCCAGGTTTGGGTGACGCAGAACTATTTGCATGCATAATGGGTTGGTTCATACTTGGTGTTGTATTCACTGAGCCTGAACACTGAACCATTCCTCCATTCGGACTGTATGAGTGGGGAGGCAAGCTGACGAAGTTCGCCGGTCCCGACTGACTTCCAGGACCTTGGACCATTGCATTCATGACACCACCCCCAGATGTCTGGCCATCTTGCAATCCTGGACAACCACCCATTTCATTCATCTGCATCGGATGCAAGTTAGGA